GAGGCACAAAAGAGCTGTTATGGATGAAGGGAAGATGGGGAGGTGGCAGACAATGCTTGAACTCACTCTCATCAGAATGGGCTCAGAAAGAGAATAGCACACACTCAGTTGGGTATAGAAATTTATCTTACCCTGCAGAAATTTAGGAGGGGAAGGGGATAAGAGAAAGGAGGGGAGACAAAAGGAAGGACAGATTGGGGAAGGTGATGGTCAGAAGCAAAACACTTTTGAGGAGGGACAGGGTGAGTGAAGAGAGACAAGAAACAGGCAAAAAAATTAGGATGAAGTGACATACACAATGACCATAACAAAAAAAAATTACAATAAGTTTCTTTGATAAAGGCCTCATTTCTCAAAAATCTAGGCAACTGAGTCAAATTCACAAAAATATAAGTCATTCCCCAATTAATAAATGGTCAAAGGTTATGAATAGGCAGTTTTCAGACAAAGAAATAAAAGCTATCGACAGTGATATGAAAAAAAGTGCTCTAAATCTCTATTGATTAGAGAAATGCAATTAAAACAGATCTGAGCTAGGACCACACACCTATCAGATTGTCTAATATGACAGAAAAGGAAAATGTAGGAGAGGGTGTGGGAAAATTGGGACACTAAAGCATAGCTGATGGAGTTGTAAAATGATCCTACTATTCTGGAGAACAATTTGGAACTATACCCAAACGGCTATTAAAAACCGTGTATATCCTTTAACCATGATACCAGTACTAGATCTGTATCCCAAAGAAAAGTTTTAAAAAAGGAAAAGGACCTACATGTACAAAAATATTTATAGCCACTCTTTTTGTGGTAGAAAAGAATTGGAAATTGAATGAATACCAATCAGTTGGGGAATGGTTGAAGAAGTTGTGGTATCTGATTGTGATGGAATACTATTGTGCTATAAGAAATAATGAGCAGGATGCTTCCAGAAAAACCTGGAAAGACTTACATGAACTGATGCAAAATGAAGTGAGCAGAACTAGGAGAACAGTGTGCACAATAACAGCAATATTGTGTGATGATCAACTGTGAATGACTTAGCCATTCTGAGCCATACAATGATCCAAGACAATTCCAAAGGACTTATTATCAACATGCTATCCACTTCCAGAGAAAGAACTGCTGGAGTCTAAATGTAGATTAAAGCATACTTTTTAACTCTATTTTTCTTGGTTTGTGTATTGGTCTGTGTTTTCTTTTGTTTAACAGTATTTTATTTTTTTCCTTAATTACATGTCAAGACAATTTTTAGCATTCATTTTTACAGATTTTGAGTTCCATATTTTTCTCCTTCATTCTCACTCTCCCCTCCCTTCTTCCCAAAATGGTAGGCAATTTGATATAGGTTATACATGAGCTATCATATAAAACATTCCCATATTTGTCACAGTTGTGCAAGAAGAAACAGATCAAAAGGGAAAAAAAACAGAAAAAGAGCAAAGTAAAAAATTTATGCTTTGATCTACATTCAGAGTCTATAGTTATTCATCTGGATGTGGATAGCATTTTCCTTTGTAAGTCTTTTGTGCTTGTCTTGGATCATTGTGTTGTTGAGAAGAGCTGAGTCATCCATAGCTGATCATCACCCAATATTGCTGATACTGTGAACAATATTTTCCTAGTTCTGCTCATTTCACTTTCCATTAGTTTGTACAAGTCTTTCCAGATTTATCTGAACTCTGCCTGTTCATCATATTTTATTGCATAATAGTATTCCATTACCTTCATATACCACAGCTTGTTCAGCCATTCCCCAATCAATGGGCATCCCCTCAATTTGCAATATTTTGCCACCATGAAAGGGCTGCTATAAATATTTTCACAGATGTAGGTCCTTTTCTCTTTTTTTATGATCACTTTGGGATACAGACATAGTAGTGTTATTGCTGGATCAAAGAGTACACACAGTTTGGTTGCCCTTTGGGCATGGTTCCAAGTTGCTCTCCACAATGGTTGGATTAGTTCACAACTCCACAAACAGTGCATTAGTGTCCTAATTTTCCCACATCCTCTCCAATATTTATCATTTTTCTTTTTTGTCATATTAGCCAATCTGATAGGTGTAAGGTGGTATCTCAAAGTTGTTTTAATTTGTATTTCTCTAATCAAAAGTGATTTAGAGCACTTCTTCATATGCCTATATATAGCTTTGGTTTCCTCATCTGAAAACTGCTTGTTCATGTCCATTGACCATTTATCAGTTGGGAAATGGCTTGTATTCTTATAAATTTGACTCAGTTCTCTATATATTTGAGAAATGAGGCCTTTATCAGAGACACTTGCTATATTGTTTTCCAGCTTTCTGCTTTGCATTGGTTTTGTTTGTACAAAAGCTTTTTAATATAATATAATCAAAATTATATGTTTTCTATTTTGTAATGCTCTCCATCTCTTGTTTGGTCATGAATTTTTCCCTTCCCCATAGATCTGACAGGTTGACTATTCCTTGAAGTATTCCTTTTTGTTCTGATTCACTTTTCTCCAAAGATCTATCATATCTAACTTTTCTAATATTCTATTTACTTCCTTAGTTTCTTTCTTGTTTATTTTTGGTTAGATTTATTGAGTAGTGACAGGGGACAGCTGAGGTCCCCCACTAGTATAATTTTGCTGTCTATTTCTTTCTGTAACATATTTAACTTCTTTAAGAATTTGGATGCTCTCACATGAAAAAATGCTCTAAATCACTGTTGATTAGAGAAATGCAAATCAAAACAGCTCTGAGGTACCACATCACACCTGTCAGATTGGCCAACATGACAAAACAGGAAAATGATAAATGTGGGAGATGTGGGAAAGTTGGAACAGTAATGCATTGTTGGTGGAGTTGTGAAATGGTCCAGTCATTTTGGAGAGCAATTTGGAACTGTGCCCAAAGGGCTATAAAAATGTGCATACCCTTTGACTCAACAATAGCACTTCTAGGGCTGTATCCCAAAGAGATCATAAAAATGGGAAAAGGACCCACATGCACAAAAATATTTATAGCAGCTCTTTTTGTGGTGGCAAAGAATTGGACATTGAGGGGATGCCTATCAATCGGGGAATGACTGAACAAGTTGCGGCATATGAATGTAATGGAATACTATTGTGCTATAAGAAATGATGAAAGGCAGACTTCAAAAACACCTGGAAAGACTTGTATGGTCTGTAGCTGTATGAAGTGAGCAGAATCAGGAGAACGTTGTACACAGTAACAACCATGCAGTGCAATGACTAATATTGATAGACTTAACCCTTCTCAGCAATACAAGGATATAAGACATCTCCAAAGGCCTTATGATGGAAAATACTATCCACATCCAAAGAAAGAATTTGAATGCAGATCAAAGCATACTATTTGCTATTTTTTTCTTCTGTTGTGTTTTGTTTCCTCTTTCTAGTGGTTCCTCTTTTTGGTTCTAATTCTTACTTACAACATCACTAATGTGAAAATGTGTTTAATAGGAATGTATATGTATAGCCTATATCAGATTGCATGCTGTCTTGGGGAGGGAGGTGGAAAGGAAGGGGGAGAAAAACTTGAAACTCAAAAGCTTATGGAAGTGATTGTTGATAAAACAAAATAAATTAATTTTTAAAAAAATTAAATTAAATTAAACAAAAGAATTTGGATGCTCTACATATATACACATATTGTATACATATATACATACACACACATGTATGTGTGTTTAGTATTGATATTGTTTCACTGTCTATGGTACCTTTTAGCAAGATGCAGTTTCCTTCCTTATATCTTTTAATTAGGTTCATTTTTGCTTTTGCTTTTTCTGATATCATGATTTCTACCCCTGTTTTTTTTTAACTTCAGCTGAAGCATAATATATTCTGCCCCAGCCCTTTACTTTTACACTGTGTGTCTCTCTCTGCTTCAGGTATGTTTCTTGTAAATAACATATTGCAAAATTCTAGGTTTTGATCCTCTCTGCTGTACATTCCTTTTTATGGGATAGTTAATCCCATTCACATTCACAGTTATGATTAGTAACTGTGTATTATTTCCTGCCGTCCTATTCTTCATCTTGTTTATCCTCTCACTCCTTTCACCTTTTCCCTCCTTCACAGTGTTTTGCTTCTATCTACCACCTCCCCTGATCCCCCTCCTGCCCCCCACCACCCTTTACTTTATCTCCTCCCTTCCTATTTTCCTGCTATATTTGACTAACTGTGTATATTATTCTCTCTTTGAGCCAATACTGATTACAGTAAGATTCAAACAATGCTCATTGCCCACCCTCATATATTTCCCTCTACTGTAATAGGTCTTTTGAGCCCCATTCTAACTCTCCCTTACTTCTGTACCCATTGTACTCCCTTTCTCATCCCTTAATATTTTTATGTCACTCCCTCAAATTCACCATATACCCATACCCTCTATGTATATTCCTTCTGGCTGTACTATTAGTGACACAATTTTTAACAATTACTAGTATCATCTTCCTGTGTAGGGATTAAATAGTTTAGCTTTATTGAATCCCTTATGTTTTCTTTTCCCTTTTTACCTGTTTATGCTTCTCTTGGGTCTTGATATTGGAGGTTAAGTTTTTGGTTTAGTTCTGGTCTTCTCCTTATGAAAGGAGAAATCCTTCTATTTCATTGAATGACAATTTTTTCCCTTGATGTATTATGCTTAGTTTTGCCAGGTAAGTGATTCTTGGTTGTAGTTCTAGCTCCTTTGCCTTCCAGAATATCATGTTTCATGACCTCTGATCTTTTAAAGTTGCAGCCACTAAGTCCTAAATCCTGATTGTGACTTCCCAATATTTGAATCGCTTCTCTCTGGCTACTTGTATTTTTTCCTTCACCTGACAGTTCTGAAATTTGGCCATAATGCTCCTTGGAGTTTTTATTTTGGGATCTCTTTCCTGAGGGGATCAGTGGATTTTTTTCAATGCTTATTTTGTTTTCTGGTTCCAGGATACCGCAGCAGTTTTCCTTGATAATTTCTTGAAAGATGCTGTCCAGGTCCTCCTTTTGATTATGGTTTTCAGGTAGTCCAATGATTCTGATATTGTTTCTTCTGGATCTATTTTCCAGGTCAGTTATTTTTCCCATGAGGTATTTTACATTTTCTTCCATTTTTTCATTCTTTTGAATGTGTTTGATTGATTCTTGATGTCTCAGAGTTATTAGCTTCCACTTGTCCAAATCTAACTTTTAAGGTGCTGTTTTCCTCAATTAGTTCTTGTACTTTCTTTTCCATTTGGCCAATTGTACTCTTTAAGGAGCTGTTTTCTTCGGTGGATTTTTGTATCTCCTTTTCCATTTGGCTGATTCTACTTTTTAAGCAGTTTTCTGAGCTGTTGAGTCTTTTTTCATAATTCTCTTGTATCACTCTCATTCCTTTTCCCAATTTTTCTTCTACCTCTCTTTTATTATTTTAAGCCGCTTTTTCAGGTCTTCTATGATTTCTTTCTGGGCTTGAGACCACTTCCCATTTTTATTTAGGGTTTTGGCCATAGGTGTTTGACACTGTTGTCCTCTGCTGAATTTGTGTCTTAGTTTTCCCTGTCACCATAATAATTTTCTATGGTCAGATTCTTTCTGGGTTGTTTTTACTCATTTTTTTTTGGCCTTTTCCCTTTCTTTTATATTTGAGCTCTGCTCCCAAGGTGGAAGGGTCTTCGTCTCAGGCTTTTTTTGCCAGTGGTTGCTTACCTGGTGCCTCACTGCTGTTGCCCTGAATCCTGTAGGGGGCCTTCATGTTTGGTGCTGTGCTAAGGGGGTGAGGTGGGGGAGAGCTGGTGCTGTTGAAGGCCTTAGGGGTCTGGCAACTAGTACTGGTATCTGGCATGTACTGAATCCAATGCAGTGTTTTTGCATTTCCCTAGGGCTACACTGAAGCACTGTGGTGGTCTGGCCACTGGCTGCCTGTTTGACCAGGGCTATGCTGAAGCACATAGTGGTTCTCAGAACTAAGGTCTGACAGTTACCCTGGCTTTCCTGAGGTAAGTGGGGGGTCCTGATATTGACTTTGTCTGCTCCACTATACAGGCTCAGGATCTCCTGCTGGTTTGCTAAGGTAGGGCTTGATGCTGGCTTGTTAGAATGCTTCCTGCCCTGAATTGCCCTCCTCTTTTACCCGAGTGAGACAGACCATTCTTGTTTGGTTTTGTATTTTGGTTTTTGGTTTGTTTGGGGGCTTTTTGGGGGGTTTTTTGGTGAGGCAATCAGAGTTAAGTGACTTGCCCAGCTAGTGTCAAGTATCTGAGGCTGGATTTGAACTCAGGTCTTCCTGACCCCAGGACTGGAGCTCTACCCACTGTGCCACCTAGCTGCCCCTGAGATGGACCTTTCTTGACAATCTTCTAAGTTTCTTGGCCTAAAAGATTGCTTCATCCCATCTTTTTGCTGGTTCTGTTGTTCCAGGATTTGTTTTGGGGCACTATTTTATAGTTGTTTGGAGGTAAATATGGGAGATTTACTTCTCACTCTGCCATCTTGGCTCCCAGAAAGTTGAACCTCTGCGTTTTCTTTCATAAAATGATTAATATGAACATATGTTTTGCATGATAGTACATGTGTAACCTATTTCAAATTGCTTGCCTTCTCGATGAAGGGGAATAAGAGAAGGGAGGCAAAGAAAGAATTTGGAACTCAAACTTTTAAAAAACAAATGTTAAAATTGTTTTTACATATAATTAAAAAATAAAATATTTTTTAAAAGAAGTGGTAGATTCAGGGCATAGAACAAAAAAATTTTTTTTGGACATGGACAACAAGAAAATTTGTTTGACTATTCACATTAGTTACAAGGGATTTCTTTTTCGCTTTTTTCCCATTTGGGTCAAGGGTAGGAATGATAAAAAATAGATTTCTGACAATTAAATAAATGAAATTCAATTACAATAAAAATAGTCCACAAATCAGAGGGATTCATCAATTAAATCCCTGAATATGGCTATCTGAGAAAAAGTGATAGTCATTGGAGTGCAACAGGCCCATGGCATCATGTCTTCTAAAAGTTAAGCATCCCCACTTAATCATTTTTCACATGATATTTTCAGACATCTATGGCCTGAGTTTAAATCCACCCTCTGAAACTTACTACTTGTGTTACCTTGGTAAATTGTTCTGCCTCCTTGGGCTTCAGTTTACTTTTCTGCAAAATGAGAAGTTGGACTAAATGACTTCTAACGTCACTTCCAGCTCAAGATCTATGATTTTATGATTTCAACATCCTAGTCACACTTTTCTGGACATTCTCCAGTCCAATATTTCTCAGTGAGTGAATCCCAGAACACCCTAAACACAGTGTCTAGCAGAGCAAGAATATCAGTGCCCTCAATAGGAATGGTACATTACAATAAATACAGCCTAAAACTATATTTGTTTTTGGATTGATAACATCACAATATTTTATCATATAAAGCTTAGCCTTTGAAATTATACAGTTTTCTACATTGCTATTTGTTAACCAAAGTCCAAGGTGAAGAAGCAAAATAGAACTTTCAAAGTTCTCACTTCTTTCTATTATATCTCATCTCATTTCTTATTTCATCATAGAGGCACTTAAGTGGTATAGTGGATAGAATGTTGGGCCTGGAGGACCTGAGTTCAAATCTAGCCTCAGATATTTATTAGCTATGTGATCCTAGGCAAGTCACTTAACCTCTATTTTCCTTAGTTTCCTCATCTGTAAAATGGAGATAATAATATCACCTACCTCCCCAGCTTGTTGTAAGAATCAAATGAGATAACAATTGTAACATATTTTGCACAGTGACTACTATATGGTAAATATTATATAAAATTAACTATTATTATCATAGCTATCTTCCTCAGCCATTCAAAGAGGTATGGCTTCCTAAAATTAGGTGATCATCCTTTTGTACTCCACTCTGGTCCAGATTATTGTGTTTCATTCTGAGAGCTAGTTTAGGAAGATTATTAAAAGAAACTGGAAAGCATTCAGATGAAGGCAACCAGTATAGCAAAGAGGCTGGAGACTATGTCCTATGCAAATCTGTTGAAGGAAATGTGTACTTTTAGCCTAAAAAGAAGAGACTAGGGGTATGTGATAGCTGTCTCCAAGCATTTGAAGGCCTGTCATGTGGAAAAGGGATTCTACTAGTTCTATCTGGCTTCAAAGGAGTACCATGGAGCAAGGAGTAGAAATTTCTAAGAGACAAATGTTGGGTTAATCTCAGGAAAAAAAATTTCCTATTAGGATTCTTCAAAAGTAAATGTGCTGAGCACTTTTTTCTTTCCTAAAAGGATGTATATGGGGAGGAGAGACCTTTCCTCCAATCCCACTGAAGGTTTCTAGTCTGAGACTAACTCATCAATGATAGTCAGGTATGTTATAATAAAGATTCTTGTTTTCAGGTTGACATAGATATCTCCTGAGGTCCCTTCTGGCTAGAAAATTCTGTGATTCTGTGATGCTCTTCTTTTTCTTGTCCACCTTTCTCCAAACTCAAATGGATCTGTCCTCATTGATTTAAAAGTCCCCTCCAATGATGGAAATATCAACCCATTCATTGTCACCTATCATTTTATTTGATTACTGTCACTGTCCTCCCATAAAATCACCACCTAACTTGTGGCTACTTTCCTCAATTTATCCTAAAGGTATCTCAAGAAAATTTGAAGCACATGGGATATCCATCAATTATTTCTCACTTTTTCTATGTTGCCAAACCATCTTTTTCCTCAATCAAAGATTTCTTAGGTTGTATCTTTTGTTTTTCTTTTTGGTGAGGCAACTGGGGCTAAGTGACTTGCCTAGGATCACACAGCTAGTAAGTGTCAAGTGTCTGAGGCCAGATTTGAATTCAGGTCCTCCTGACTCCAAAGCCAGAGCTCTATCCACTGTGCCATCCAGCTGCCCTTTTGATTGTATCTTTTACTCCAGTTTGTCTTTATAATTTGTCATTTGTTACATATTTCATTCTTCTCAAACCCACCATTTTCTATAGTCTTCTGAGTGATGTTCTTTTTTTAAATTGTTGACAAACTATAGTGCAGACCTTGATTCCAATAATTGTAGCCTTGCATTATTGGTAGAATATTATATTAGAAAGATGAACCTATAATTTTTTCGAGATGTTTGGGGTAATTAATTGAGCTTTGTAATTTCCCAAGCTTGATCCAGTCTTTTTACTCTATTTAATTCTGAACCTAACTTATAGTTCATGTTTATTCTATTCTAGATACATAAACTAATGGATAAAATCTGTAGGTTATCCATACAATTGCATGTCATAATTTGGACATCCACTTGGCTTTTTTCCCCTTCATCTACCCAGCACATTATGGAAATGTGGATGGTTAAGCCAAACTCTTTTTGATTTGATGCAGCCAATGTAGCTGTTTTTGTTCATCCTTCATTTTCGAAGAACGATAATATCATCCACAAATAGGAGCATATGGAAGATCTCACATGCTATAAGGAATCTCTTCATAACTTAGGTTCTGCTCTGGAACTCTATGATGGCGATGGGGATATGTCTCCTTATTTCATACCTTGTCTGTCATTTATGATCAGAGAGCAATAGAACAAGATTACATCTGTTGTTATGTCTTTTAAGAGATCTTTCATAATGTTGATGTGTGGCTAAGAGATACCTTGTTGAAAGAGAGATTTTAAGTTGACTTGTTGCTCCACTGACTCAAATACTCTCTTTGATAGTCCATAATTAATACAGTAGGATCTTATGTTCTCTATATCTTTCAATCAGTTGTATGATGATTAACATGTAGTCAGCTATGTACTAGGGGAAGAGAATAAGCATTTATGTAGTATGTACTATGTGCCAGGAACATTACAAATATTAACCCATTTGAGCTTCATAATAACTGGGAGGTAGGTGCTGTTATTATATCCATTTTAAAGTTGAGGAAACTGAGGCAAAAGTGGTTAAGTGACTTGTCCAAGGTCATACACCTAGTGTGAGGCAAGATTTGAACTCCTTTCTTCAAGAATTCAAGCCAAAAGCTTTATTTACTGTGCCACCTAGCTGCCTACTATTTATTCTGAAAGCTTGACTGTTCTCCCTACTTGTGCCATCATTGACTAAGCCCTTGATATGTGTATAGATTATTACCACAAAATGTTATGTTTATGGGAAATTAGGTATGTAGGCCAATAGTTATTTATGTTTCCTCCACATTTTTAAGATATTAATAAGGTCCATGATTTTTTTCTAAGCCTACATTTTTTGTTTTCTTTGGCATATTTTGCAAGTGAATCATTTAATCAAAAGTGTAAGCTGAGTATGAACAAGTCCTTAATCAATTTGAGAGGGATAAAGTGTTTTGATATTTGGATAATGTCAGATCATGTGACAAACAATATCTTGAGGATGACTAAAAGAATCAGAAATATCTCTAGCCCTATATATAAAACACTGAGCTGGTTCAGAATTGTGAGTCCAATGGCAGCCCAACCTATAGGTAGAGGACATGCTAAGACCTTGAGAAGGAATTGCATGGCAGTATGTGTAAGGGAGGAGGAGCAGAGAGTTTGTTTCTTTCTTCCATTCACCAGGTGAACATGTGAATTTGGGAGATCCTTGGGTCCCAGCAGAAGTCTCACAGGCTACTTTAGCCAAATGTAGAATCCACTAGAGCCTGAAACAATGGCCACCAAAGGAAGAACCTGCAGAGGGATGTAGAAAGACAGTCACCAAAGGATGATGGCGGGTTCCATCTCTAGACTTGGTGCATTTCCACTACCTGACTCCCATGACTAGAATGTTCTCCCTTCTTACCTATGACTCTTGGAAATCCTGACTTTCTCCAAGGTTCAGCTCAAAATCCACCTTCTATAGGAGGCTTTTCTAATCACTACAGGCAGCCAAGCCTTCATCTTTAATGTTACCTTACCTCTATGCTGTATCTATATTTGTATGTACCTATTTCTTTACATATTATCTCACCCATCAGAATATAAAATCCTTGAGGGTAGGGCCTTTTTTTTTACCCCCCCCTTAGGAAAATAAAT